CGTTATAATCGTAACGTTACGCCATCATGCCCGAGTGTTTTGTACCAGAATGCACACATACGAGCAATGGATCTTGCTCGTTGTTTCGTTTCCCGGGAGATGTAGTTCATTGAGCGATTTTCACATAAAACTAAATGTTACTCTTCTGTTTAATGACAAACTGCGACTTTGTTGACTTTCATAATTATCTTTTAAATTGACAAACATGTGTAATTCAGGGCACAGTTCAGACGGAATAAAAAGATAAGTTGTCTCTCGCCATTGACTACCATACATATTTTTTCCGAAATAAGGTCCCATGAGCCGGAAGCGGAGGGGAGGGACTTAGGCTCTCTATTCATTCCGGTGAAATCACAAAATAAAATGCACACAAACGTGTCCCTGCTTGATATAGACTGTAACCACTGATGAACATAATATTCAGTTTTGATGAGAGAAAAAAAAACTATACGAGTGCGGATTAGAACCTGTAACGGGGGGGGGTGCACCTGAGACCCGCAGTGACAGCTGCTGTCAGACTCTAAAATGGAGAGTGACTGGAGTGACGCAAGTAGCTTTGCAACAGAGCAGTCATTTGAAGTCGAGGACTTTTCTCCCCCACCTTCACCTGAAGTGGAGGAGGGTGAATTGTCTGTGGACACAGGGCCATATCAATTCGAGCCGCTGGCTCAAACTGCGGTCTTAACTCCCGCATCGCGATCAGCATCTGATGAGTTTTGTCGAGTTGATGTCAATAGCGCGCGCTCTCTGTAGGCATATATTCATATTGATATTTTGCCGCTATGTGAAAAAATCCAGCAAAATGCGCCGGCGCGTTTGTCGACCCCAGAGGATTAACTTTAGCCTAACCATAAATTGTGATTAAAATATACATGATCACTCACATCAACACGCCGCTGCGCGGTGGTGGAGTCCATGCAGGAGGAGCAGTGTTTGGCACTGCGTCGCATTTCAGCGTGAGCTGTGTGGAGAAGCCCATTTCCACCTCTATTCCGTTACCATCCTGACCACTGTACTAAATACAGATAAATCTACGCTAACTTGAAGCTATCCTAACTGTACTATGCTACTAACTAACTAGGCTACACAAAATAATCTAAATAACTATATAAATGCTATGCTAAATAGATGCTAAAATACTCTATCCTAATACTCGTAATTCCAATTCGCAGTGGTTTTGACGAAACAAGATGGTTTTTATACTGCCAAGGGCGTGGTGAGCTGGAACCTGCTTACGTCAGCTCTCACCGCTTACGTCACGAAGCACCGCAAACATCCAATAGGAAAATTCAACTGCAGTAGCCACCGTTCAAACTGAAGAGGGCAGCACTCAGACGTTTTTACACCATATATTGTAGAATTAAAACACTTTATACCCAAATGTCAAAAAAGTTACTCGAATCAATGGTCAGCACTAATAAAGCCCCATTCTTACAGATAATTAACTAAAAAAAAGTTGGTTTATGGTTTAGTTACCCTTAAATAATAAAATAAACACAGATTATCCACGAAAGCTTAACAGTGTGTCTACTACACACAAACAACAACTGAAGAGTGAACAAGGAGGAAGTTAAATACACTGATAATGAGATGATGACAAACAGCTGTGATGATAATCAGTGTCCATAAAAACTAACGATTGGCAAGAAACTTGAACAAAGAAAACATGAAATAATGAATACAAACTAAAAGTCCACGAAAAAAAAAACTAACAGAACATACTGTAACTTTGACAATATCAAATGTCAAGCAGTTTATGATTCACATCTCAGAGCGGCTCCATTCATAGTAAATGCTCCATCACTGCATGTGCTGTGAGTTTAACCAACATGTTTTACTACTCCTGTGTATACAATTTAATTTGCATATATTTTGTTCTTGAATGAATGAATGAATGAATTGGTTACATTTAATTTTGCACATTGACTGTCAGTTTGAGATATAGGCTATTTGAGTATTGTGTTTATCTTTGGATAGTTTACAAAATCATAATTGTGTTGGATTATGTTGATTTAACCCCAAATCTTAATTTATTATAACATTCTTCATTAACAATTATTCAGTTATTTGTAATATACGTCAGTGTAAAAAAAAAATCAAAGCAGTTTTAAGCTGATAAAGCTGACTCAGTAGTAAGCTGATAAAGTGATAGTAACTTGTAGTGTAGCTAACTCCTTTTTTCCAGAAGGGTAGCTTATCTTAACTACTTTATCTTAACTACTATATATAATGAGTAGCTTGTAGCTTGTCATGCTACAGTTTCAGAGTAGCTTCCCCAACACTGCATATAGTCTAGGCATATATAATGTTATAAATATTATATTGATATAACACTGAATGCATCAATACAATAATAATTCACTACATGCAAAATCAGATATATACAGTTAAATCAATTACTATGTAAATGGGGGAGACAGGCCACAGCAAATTTTCAAACATTCCGAGAGAGGTCCTCTCCTCTGTATAAGCAGTATCATAATGCTAAGTTACATAAACAAACCTGAACTCCTGTTGCGAACATGAAACGTCTTCATTGATAACTGAGTACCAACAGACTTGGTCAGTTGTTTTGCGTCTGTCTGGCAAGCAATATCTCTTGTTTGGCTGCTCTGTTCTGATGTGCTGTCCTTTACAAATAAAGATTCCACTATCAGCGCGATAAAAAAAAAAACATAGCTGGGCATGGTGCTATCACAAACTTTATGAGTCTAACATGTTATTACGAGCTTGACAAATTCAAAGGCAATTTGGAAAACAAACGCGTAATACTTCACTCACTTCTAGATGTGCAAGTTAGCTGGATCACCAACAGTTGGCACTGCTACATCCTTCAGGAGCAACTTTTTAGAAATAGATAGAGCTATGTGGATTAATACATCCAGCTACACAACACCGACAACGCAGGGGAGACATTCTCGTCAGTGCAGCAATGGCGGATGTGTACAACACAATTCTCAACCAAGGGGGTAATCCATCGACCGGAAGTTGAAGCCGGCCGGGTGCCGCCATGTTGTAGCAGAACTTCACTTGCGTTAGCATTTCCATTGACTCCCATTCATTTTTGCGTCACTTTGACAGCGAATAACTTTACATCTGAGGCGTTTAAAGACTCCATTTGTCCATTATTTATTTCTAAAGAAACACGACAATGTATAAAGGGCTCCATTACCTTCTATGTTACACTATGGCCCCGTAGAAACAGATTTAGTAAAAATAGGCTAACGATTGCGTCATAACCACTCGACTCTCTGTCGCGCTGTACAGAAGTTACCGTACAGACGGGAGGAGAAGCTCGCAGGCAATCGGGGGGACGTCCCGTCAAGGGAGAAGCCCATAGATAATGAGTCCATAAAAGCAACGGAATTCTTACTCCTGCTCACTCACGCCAAAGAACTCTTTGCTCAAGTTCCCCGTCTCTGCAAGATTAATGTTGGCAGTTTTCACGCACAGCTACTAGAAGATTAACGTCTGTCAGACAGGTTGCTCACGTCATCAAGCTTAGTTTGAGTCGGTCTGAGTCTGCGCGTCAGGAACGGAAGTTCTCAAAAATCGCTAAAAGTGGGCTTCAACTGTCTCAACTGAGTTCCAATGAGATCGCTCTGTCCATTTCTTTTACTGTCTATGTTCTCAACCATAGACAGTAAAAGCTCTCAACTCGCTGTGAACTCATCTCGATCATGGCGGTTCTGTTAAACGGCAGTGTCTGTCAACACTCGTGGGCGGGGCCTGTGGCTTTAGTGACGTCACGAAAGCCGCATTCTGAAAACAGGTCGTTGGGAGACACTGCTTTGATTTATGGGGATTTAAAAAAAAGGAGTGGGTGATTTTTATCACTGTAGGGTGGTTGTGTACACACACTGCCAACACACATTTATGTCCAAACACCATGCAAAAGTGAATTTTGCATAATAGGTCCCCTTTAAAGTAAAAATTATTTATTTAACTGTAACATGTTTTTCGATTCGAATTAAGTAACAGGTAGTCTACTTTGGGTGTCTTGTTCATCATATTTATTTTCATAAAACAGCAACAGAACTTAAATTACATTATGTTTATTTAGTAACACATGAGTGTTAATCACGCGATATCCATGATCCATTGTCTGTCTTGGCTGCACTTTTTTCACTCCTCCCCTCACTACAGCCGCCTATTCTCATCTAAATTTCAGGCAAGGCATGGCGCATCTCAAACGAGCCTAAAATATATCAAAGACACAAAATACAATATGCTATATAGCTACAATATGCAAGAAGCACAAATGGCATGTCAGTGAACAATGCACTGTAATGAAATGCATACATTTGCAACAAATGCAACATAATGTAAAATTTTAATGTCAAATAGCCTATGTCTGTGATTTTAGTAGTGCTGACATGTTTACATGCCCTGTATCTGAATTGTTAAAACTAAGGATGAATATTGTTTCAGGCTGCTAAGTGTTTTGTTCTTCATAAGAATAATGAAATATTTTTATTTGTTCTAAATCAATAAGCATTGGATTGTGTTGTTTGCAGTCTCAAGATCTTTTTTTTTCAGTCAAAAATTAGGCAAAATAATCTCTGAGCTTGAGTATTTATTGCAATGTATAATTTAATAAAGAACTGAAGCCAAGAATATAAACCAAAAAATACAATAAAGATAAAGTATAGGCTACATATTAATACTTACTTAAGTGTTGCTGAAAATAAAAGATGTCTCACACACACTTGGAGAGTTAGGCACTCTTGTATTACTGGTCCAGAATGAAGATATGAATCTTGAATCCAGATGATTATTGAATGTAGGCCTACTACAGCACAATAAATTAACAACATCGTTGTTGACCACATTTTATCCAATTTATCGTACATAAGTAATATAAATCATTGTACATTGAGCTTTCACAAGAACTACTTTCACACGCGGAACAAGACGGAAAAAAGTTCTCACAGATGAGTTTTAATTGGTAGGCCTACACATTGGAGCGCGTTACAAATGACAGGTGTTCCTCAGTAATAATTAAACTGACACTAAAACAGTCACAGCGGGGTGGAGCCCTCTTGCAGCTTACACTGAAGGATATGCTTATTTGCTTCACATTACACCAGGTAACTGTAACTAACATTGTTTCTACAGAGGGTTTCTTGTTTTGAAAGTTGTTAAAATAAAACGTTCATTACGTTTTTGGACAAAGATACAGCGGCTGGCGAGTGCCCAATTTTAACGACTCACATATTAGCATATTCACATATACAATAGGCTATAGCCTATGCAATATCTCATATGCATGTGAAATTTAGCAAAAATGTGAGTGAATAGCAAATATTATTTTATTTTTAAGGAGCTTTTTCGCGTTTCAGTGAATTTGAAAATGAGCAGTGATTGAAGACAAGTGAGGTAGTTGTCCGTTATAAATAAAAGTTAATAAGCAAATGGCAGCATCACTATGCCCAACTTGTTGCAGAGCAGATCACAAGAGAGTAACCCACAGCAGAGCAAGCATAATCTATCACGGATCACGTGATAATAAACGCCAAATTACTTTAGAATTTTCTGTTAAAAGTAGACACTGTTCCAAACTTCCAAACACTTTTATCGCCATTTCTCACTCAGACCCGGAGTGGACATCGCAGGGCGGCCCGTGGACATGCTAGGGGCGCCACTCATCCATAGGGGCGCCAAAATGAGTGGTGTTTCTTTACTAATATTAATTCGAAATATTACCAAATAAAGCCAAACAAAACGCACAAAAACTCTGACTCATCCCAGCCCGCTGCATCAATCTTCCCCCTCCAGCGAGTGCTTGAAGCGCATCAGAAATGGAACGTGCGTTCAGTGTTTTTTTTTTTTTTTTTTTTTTTTTTAAGAACGCCCGTGGAGTTTATGGTTGGGAATTTGTTGTGTTGCGTCGCCTCTCGCCACATCCGATGTAGAAGCGGGCCTGGCCGCTCGCGCCAGGTCTAGATGTGGTGAAAGTTATCTGATTGTGACCATAAGCCGTAAAAAAAAAAAAATAGATTGTGAAGGATAGCCGAATTCCCATGACGCGGTATAAATTAGCATTATAGTATGCCATAGATAGCCTGTGTCTGATGCAGGGAAGGAGAAGAGGAAAAAAGGGGATAAAGATATGGGTAAAGTGATGTATTAATGGCAGTTATTTTTTACTTAAACTTTACTGTAAATAGGTTCTGAGTTTTCCAGAGGCCACAGACAATGTGATTTTGTAACAATCTTGTCAGTTTTTTAAAAAGTATGTAATATAACTTTTTTTATTAATGTTTTTGCTTTGTTCTGCAGATTTGGGTGGATATATGGCATTTTTAAAATGTATTTACCAAAATTACTAATGATATATATGGGTTTATTTAAAATAGCAAAATTGTTATGTAAAATTCACATTAAAGAAGATCTACATTTCTCAGTTTCATTCATGGCGAAAACGTGAAACGTTTAGTGGATTATTGCTGCCATCTACTGGAAAACAAACACTTTTGCTATAGTGCGCAATGAAAAGTTTGTGCATGAAAGGCTATAGATGGGTTTCCGTTTCTCTAATTACCCATTATCCTCTGCGGCGCGCCGCCATGTTGTGTGTCAAAGCTGTCATGCTCATGTTTACCGCCTATTGAGGGGTTTCACGACGCGTCATCAATCCGGAAGTCGGCCATTTTGGAGGCACAGAACGTAAATATTGCCACTGAACTGAATGGACTCGCAAATTTGGGTGATTATTGCTGCTAAAAAATGGTCGAGTTTTGGTCTGTTCCAATCAGTCACATCGGGAAAAAACATGTTGAGTGCTATAGACTGTCAAAAGTTAAAGAGAAGAGTGCAAAAACTGATGAAAGAAGGCGTTTGTGGTTGAGAGAGGTACAGCATCAGCTACTGGCGCGCTGGACTACTGGAGGCTGGTATGTAGCCTACTGCTTTTTCCCCACGCTCGTCTGCGCCGGTTTCAGAAATAATAACGTTACTTTTCTGCTCGTGCGGCAATTTGCAACAACACAGCATTGTTTCGGCAGTGACTTTCAGCATGTTTCCTATAAATGACGTTTGCATTTTAAGACATACCACGCGAAATCCGATCGTTCAGACTGAGGCTGATGTCCTGATATGTGATTTGAATAGGATTTCAAACCACATATGGATGTAACTTGAAACGGATTTCATGTGCTTTTTTGGTCTGACAATCTGAACGTATCCTATGTCGGGATAATAAATAGATGGAAGAATTGCAGTAATGTTACGTGCTAGAGAAGCTAACTCGTTCGGATCTTTACCACATATTAACTTTAGTTTGTCAAAATGTTGCGCTCTCTCCTGCTTCCCAAGTCCTTCTCTATATGATTTCGCACCTACCACGTGTTTCCGTGGTTTATTACCTGGCGACAAGGTGAAGGTTATTTACAGGGACACATTAGACGATGTTTGCAAGGCAAGATATGATGAGAAATTGAGTTATATCGATGGAAAGGATCCTTACACAATGTCGGAAGAGGATTGGTCATGTAATTTTTTTCTATGTGTTTTAAATCCGTGTGTTATTCGTTCAATCAAATTTTTGTCCCGCCAAAGTCTTATTTGATCGGTGACTAATGTAGATGAACTGCTGCGCTTGTGACAGGACGCATGTTTAACTGAAAAAACGAGCAGAAAGAGAGAGCGAGAGCCGGTCGCGTGCGCGCACTCCCTCTCTCTTCGGAGCCAGGCGAAAGTGTAAACAAGACTTCACCGTCTCCAAACTAAGCGCTGTCTTGCTCTCACTCCCTCGTGGAAAAGTTAGTCTTAAACTTGAATCAAATGTATTGTATGAAATGTTTTTTTTAGAGCATACACTGTATCAATTTGATATTTTTAATCCTAATGTACAAAACTTCACAATACATCTGTGCCACATCTACAACTACATACAACTACAACTACGTGTAAATATACAATACACATTTTTTAAATATTTTATTATAATGTACACAAGAGAGTGAATATTTACAGTTTAACTTTGTATGTTCTTTTTAGTGTGGCGGGAGAAGAGGTGCTGGGATTATCTTTGTTCACCCAGAAACGCATTCATTATTAAGCCAATTTATCACTGTAATAAAATATAGAACTATACAGTCGTTTTAAATCGACAACGTGCGTACGGCTTGCATGCATTTAATGTATTTGTGTGTACTCTTCTCTGGGCGTACTGTAGTCGCTAGTGTGTTTTTGCACTGACAAGGAGCCATGTGATCAATGGCTAGGCTAACACAATCATCGTAATGTGCATGATAATCATGAAAATAAAACAATGTAGAATTAAAGGAACTCAGCTGTTTATCAATTTACCTGAGATAAAATGATCGGAGCAGACTTTATAGTGTCTAACGTTAACAAAGATTAACAAATACAGTAACAAATGTATTGCTCATGGTTAGTTCATGTAAGTTAATACATTAACTAATGTTAACTAATGAACCTTATTGTAAAGTGTTACCTTATCATGCTCCGTAACACAAACGCTTGAGCCACTTGACACACAAGATGGCGCCGTAAGGAGTTACGGGAGAAATGTGACGTCATCGTAAATCTATCTATAGGCTGTAAACCTCTTGCTATTTGTGTTTAGGCTGGAATGTGGCTTAGGTGCTATTTTGTATAGTTTAACCATCTTTTTTTTATATAGGCCTATATATAATATCATGAACACAATGACGGGGAGAATTACCGGTGGGCCGCCTATAAATTGGGCCGGTAGTACCACCTCGACATAAAGGCAGTTTCACACGGGACGCAGAAAGCGCAAGTCATAGTTCATTTTCAATGAGAGGCAAATCACAGGCGATTCAAGTCAGTGTTGTAGTCGAGACCAGCTCACTCGAGTCCGAGTCGAGACCGAGACCATAGAGGGTCGAGACCGAGACCATAGAGGGTCGAGACCGAGACCATAGAGGGTCGAGACCGAGACCATAGAGCAGGGGTCACCAACACGGTGCCCGCGGGCACCAGGTCGCCCCCAGGGACCACATGAGTCGCCCGCAGGCCTGGTCTAAAAATAGCACAACTCAGTAGTGAGCTGCGTCTGAAATGTAATTGTATTCTGTTGATATTCTTTTTCAATCACACCTGTTGCATTTATATAGCATATATTTATATATTTATATTTAAAAATGACAATATCTTCTGTTCATTATACATGAGTTTAGATAAGTTTAGGTGAACTCTGACTTACTCTAGTTCAGGGGTCCAAACGTCGCTCGCGAGCTACCAGTAACGTTAGCTCGTGGCCTGATTGGAGGTTGCTCGTCAAGGAGCCGTTCACATATCGAGTCTTTTGCGTCCTTAAGTTCGTTATTTCAAATGTAGGTGCGAGGCAAGCGCGCTCATAATTAAAGCGACGCGCTATTTTTTTCCAGGTGCAGCGAGATGAAAAAAATGCAACTATTCAGTATGCCGCAAACGTACCGCAGGTCAACCAATCAGCTTCACCCTTTCCATAACAACATTGAAAGCTCAGTCAACATGAAGGATGGGGGTGCACCCAAACACTACGGGTGTTTTTCTCTTCTCCGTAAATAAATCTTGTAGCAGAGCTACAGCAAGTGTTTTTCGGTGGTGGAAATCTATTAGCTACTAAAACTTCTTTGTCATTGTGGAGAGCGCAGTGCATGGTTGCATAGCAACGACAGACGCCACGGGAAAATCAGATCGAATTTTACTCTTAATAATAAAAGATAAGCTAATGTGCATTGTAAAAGTCAGAAATTTATCTTTTTTGGCTCATTCTTTTTATAAAAATGATTTAAAGGCTGAAATATGTGAGGTTTATATTTTTATAAAACATTTTTTGTCAAAACTTTATTTGAACTTGTACATACTTGTACAGTAGGCTAGATAACATGTTGCAAGACACTCCTTTAAAATCTAGCCATAATTTTTAATGTTATTATTTTAATGTTTCTGTAAACAAAAAGTGCATATTGATGCGGATTTATTTGTTATTTGCTGGTTTTCGACATACAACTTAGTGAATTGATTTCATTGTGTAGTATTAGTACTTTTTGAACAGGATTCTGTGATTACCGTGATCATTTTGGTCACTAATGAAATTAAATTATCATGCCAT